TTACTATTACCTCTACTAATGGTTCTCCTACATTACATACTTTCTTGCATTCTATCTTAATCTTGCAATTTTTGAAAATGCAACGTTCAACGAACATCGAATCTGCGCCATTTATAAGTTTACTTTGCACTTTATGAGAGAAGTAAATATGGAGGGACATATAGCAATTAAAAAATTGAAAACTTTGTAAGAGATTCATGTTAAATGACCCAAAATAAAATATCCATTTCAAATTCACGGGTTCGCGACATCAGACAGACCGTTTACGATATATCAATTTTGGGGAAAATTCTACCTAAGGTTTGGTTGGAATCGCTGTTCCTAAACTAAGTTTCTAAAAATATTTTATTCATTTCTTTTAAAGAACGCCACGACTTCTCACCTCTCTTGGGTCAGTGACCCTTTGGATGGTGGAGTTGGATGCTAGTCATTTAGACTCTGATGAGACCTTCCTAGGATTCAGTATCCGTTTTCGACCAGTTGATGATCCCCAATGTAAAAACTGATATTGTGTACATACTACATGATGCTGTAAGATTTCGTGAGTTGATAAAAGTTTTTAATATACATTTATTCTCTTAACAAATTCCAACTGCAATTTTGCTTTAATTTCAATGAGCCCAACCAACTTGTTTCAATGAATTCCTAGGTATTTGTAGAGCCCATCTGCTTCTAACGCTATTATAGTCTCTCTTCACATGGTTTCGTGTTCTATGAGTTTACCTTTACTGGTGCTCTGAATTTTACATTTTTCATTAAATACCATTCATACCTATGTCCGTGGAGTACATATCGGTGGAGTTTCAGTGGCATGTATGAGCTGATTAGATCTCTGTAAAGTTCCGTACAGTTTGATATCGTATATGTACGCTACATGACTTACATTATATTTCCCCAGGCCTTTCAGTTCTTATTCTACTCCCATTTTTTCAACAAAAGGGAGAGGGGATTCATGGCGACAAAAAACCAGTGAGGATAGAGACTATCACATTGAAGAATACCTCTGTGAATTCTTAATGTCTTGATGACTATTCTTTCATTACTTGAATATGTATGTATTATGGTATTATTTAGTTAATCGCTATGCACATCAGAAATCTTACTATAACATGGTTAATACCATACATTTTTAAAACATACAGCACTCAGTCATGTGTCACAATGTCAAATTCCTTCTTGTAGTCAATAAAACAAGTATGGAGATCGCGCTTTTTGTCAGACGCCTGAGACATGATGATACTGTCTATCACAAGTAGCTCCTTGCAGCCAAACAAATCCCTGCATCAGCCTTTTTGTGTCTTCAAGAGAATATGGTTTCGCTCGCAATGTTGTTCTATGACCGACTGTAAACAACTAGTTATGATTTTATATAATCCATTGAGACATGTGGTAGGTCGAAAGTGCCCGGAGTCTGTGACATCAGTGTTTTTGGCTTCATTTCGTTGATACACTCATACCACATACCCATTATTATTATTATTATTATTATTATTATTATTATTATTATTATTATTATTATTATTATACGAACGAAATACTAAATAAATACTATGTTTTATTAATTAATGAAATTAAGAAAGCCTTTAGCATTCCAATATTATATTTCCACAGTCTCATTTTATGTTTGTTATACCTCTTAGGTTGTGCTCTTATGATACATATTTGTCGATAAGCTTTCGATGTTATCATTTAGACCGTGGTTCGTCTGCCTATTTCATTCAGTCTGCGCGATATTTATAATTTAATGATTTGCATTAATTTACAATAATCATTTTTTAAACACTCGTGAACAACACTTTTGCTATGTATGATCGTAACGCATTATATCGTAATACAACGCATTATAATGTGACTTAATTTTCGTTTTTATCTCTCATGATTAAATAATTAACTATTTCCTTCCGAGTAATTTCATATGAAATATAGAAACATTACAGTGTTGAAACATTCACAAATTCCCAATTACTTACATAATGTTAAATTATCTTCTATATTTCTTCTGCACACTATTTAAATTCGACCGTTGTGTTGTAAATGCCTTGTTCTTCTCAGTTGTGGATTTTCGCAAGGAGGACATCGCAAAGGACGTGGACGCAAATTGGGAGCACAATGTGCTTCCTGAGCTCCGCGTGCCGCCTGACGGGCCTCGGGCCAAGGAAGCTCTTGACGAGTTGCGCCGGTTCTTCATGGGGGGCAAACCTCTCTCCAAGGATACCATGCAAGGTTTCTTGAACGTGAGTAAACGGAAGCGTTTATTCTCTTTGGAAAATATATTCTCCTTAAACTTTAATAAAAACATCGGCTTTATATGATTACTTAATAAGTTCTTGTTTACTATTTAGATGTGTTTTTGAATACAAGATGTCTGGGCAGGGGACGTTGAAACTTCAAAAAGATAAAAGCATAAGTAAATAATAAACACGTTACATGTTTCTGGAGGTTTCTATGCTTCTGCATTGCAAATTTTTGCATAAAAAGCAATTTATAAAACCAACATTTACGTGCTTATTGCGGCTCAGCCATTTAGAATATCCCAGTAGTTTATTAGACAAAACATGTTGAAAATTATCTTAAAAGCTTATTACCCCGAGTTTCAACGGGTACTCCCTGGACAGCCTGCAAATTCTTCCAATGTTCATTGAAATTTTTAGTGTAATGCATAGTACAATTTGAAATGATATTTTACGTTTTAAAATTTACTTAGGTTTTGAAAAGATTTTTTTAAAGTCAACTCTTTTGATTAGATATGAATTAAATTAATTTAATTCAATTTAAAATAAATATTTCTCGAGCAAATTTCTCAAAACTTGGAATTAAGTAATCTCTTTCTAAGAAAAAGTTGCAGTTTGTAGAACAAATTTAAATTTTATTTTTTCAAAACTTTCTAAGTTGTATTCACTCTAGAATATTTATTATCATTTTTTAAAGTCTTAACCTTCATAGTTGTGCACTTGAGTCTTCTTCCAAACTGGCTCAGTGATCTACAAACGCAATTTTGTTAACTTTGTGCTGATGGAATTGTTAACGTAGCATCGTATACTTACGTTTACGTTTTATATAGTATAAACAAAAGGGCCTATTCTAGTTTTCCAGAACATATGTTGTATTTCTGGAAAATATGTAAGTTTATTATATTGCCTTGTACAGATGTTTCAGACCACGCGAAAAAACACCAGCATTATAATCGCCATAGTTCAAACACTTTTTATCTTTCCAGGTTTTTTTAAGATACTTCATTACGATGGTGTACACTACGGTGTCTTTGCGTTATTCTCCATTATCATTTGATCAGATTGTTTGGTAACTTTATTCCGAAGTACGTTAACAACTTAGAATGTCACACTGCTGAACCATGAAGCGCTGTTGTGAGTTCGTCGATCGTAGCAATCCTTTTAAATACTTTGTGAGAAGTACTAAGCGACGAAAAAGTTACGAATATTTACAGAAGTTATCGTATTGATGTAAGCACAGAAGCATTGGCATGTGACATCTTAGAAAGAAATACAATGACGTATGTTAACCCGTCACTTTCATTGCCTCTGCGTTTATTTTCTAAATCTGCTAATAGTGCTCCGAAGAGAGTTGGCACAAGGTATGCCGGAAAATGTTTCAAAAATGCGTTACAGTAAGAGCCTTAGTGCGATGGTCATTCAGTCGATCACGCACGCACACGCACCCCCCCCCACACACACACACCTATGATCCGCCGCTTCCACATGTCACCCTCCGCACGCAAAACTCACCCGAAGAATGCTGCAAGACGCGCTGTGCTCCTTGGTGATCAAGTATTGCTTTACTGAGAGACCCTTGCTTACAAAACGGACTAAAACTTCAAGTCTTTTGTTGTTGACAAAATCAGTGGGTCCAATATGATCTCTAAATCTAGGTTCAAGAATGTTGAGAAAAACAAAGACAAAATTATAGTACTGGACGCAATGATTGACCTGCTAAGTCTCTTGATTTAACACCTTCGGATTTTATCTTTTGATGGTACTTAAATCAAGTCTACGGAAATCTCTGTGTATGATGTAGAAAACGTTGCTGTAAGTGAGTAAGCTGCTAGTACAAGTAATGAAGAAGTACAAGTAGAAGTAGACTTGAGAAATACATCGCTGCTGGCGCAATGATTAGCAGTTATACGATTTTAAGATTTTTAATATATTGGAAGATACGTTTTTCCTTTCAAACGTGCATCTAAATTAAGTTAATTGGTCATGATACGGCAGAAATCAAGAGATATCCTGGTGGTTGATGAGAATACTATATTTGCATTTGCCATATTTGGACAAGGAGCTTCACAAATATCAATCATCAAACATCATCACATTAATCGTGTAATTTGCATTTATTTGTTAAAATTATTTGCGTTCTACTTTGCTATTTTATCAGGTATTTTTCTTCCGCTAATTTCACAGTGGGGAGTGATTCACTGACAATGTATTTGTTGTTTTGTTTGAAGTTTAGGTACTAATTATTATTGAAGTTCAAATGCTTGTTTACTTCTGCTATAATTTAAAATCTAATAAAAAGATGAAAATAAATAAAATAATCAGTTACAAAAGGTTGTAGTTTATGGAATGCCTGCAAAATTTGAAACATTCTCCGTGACCAAAAATTAAAATGTAAAAATTCGATTCCAACGAATTTTTTGAAAATTTGAAGTAAATACCACAAAATACATTTGTTGTGGAAGTACCGAAGTAAATATTTGTGAAGTTTGTTTAACAAACTGTGCTTCTGTCACGTAAAGTAATCGACTCACGACAAAACCGACCTGACATAAAATGTTTATATTGCTATTCTGAACATGATTCTTACGTTTTTTCTGCCTGGTCTGGGATATTTTGTATTTTTCTATAATTATTACTTAAGTGTCTAATATACTATTTGTTTACAGCTGCACTCAGACATTACTTTTCACGAGGGCATTGCCTATGCACTACAATGCATGGCAAAAACTCCAAAAGCACCTTTATATCTGTACCATTTCTCAGTCGATGACAAGTTAAACTTCTTGAAGCCTCTCAAGAACCTTGACTATCCAGGTATTTACTCACACTTACACCAGCGGTACTACCTACTAGTACTCCTAGTACTACAGAGATGAACTAAAATAATTCTTTAGCTGAACGTGATCATACATATTTCACAATTTCCCTGATGGTTCATCAGTCATGAGGGTAGCGTTTATAGATGTGTTGGAGAAGCAGCTTCCCTATCAATCAGAAAGCACAATATTCATAATACATTTTTTTGTCCAGTTTTATTTTAGAGAGTCTTATATTGTACGTATTGAAAACGAAAAGGTTAATTAAAAAACATAATTTAGAATTTTATTGAAATGTACTATAAAATTTTCTGAAACATAACTATCTCTCAACGTTTCTAGGAGAACTTTTCCCCTTATTCAAGAATCTATTTGAATGTGAACAGAAATTATTATAAACAAAAGAAATGTTGTGAAATGATAGTGGAAGATAGTAAACTATTTATAACTGAAAGTCGTAAAGATTTTATTTTCGTTGTACTTTCTTCTCAAGTTGTTTTCGCCTTTTTATAGCAACGTACTTTCACCATTCGCACTAGCGTCGAACGTGGATTTAGCCTAGACAGCCACTCAGCGTCAGTCTTAGTCAATCATTGCCTTTATGTTTTCGTTCAGAGCCTCGACGGGAAATGGGCCAAGTTTTCTCCGTCTCTTAACTTGAGTCAAAGTATGAAAGTCTTTCTTCTCTGAGGGTTTACTGTTAGATTTGTCTCTGTAATGCGTTCCGCAGCGTAAGAAAACACAATCCAAACGACGTTTACATTAAATGAAGTCGTAGGCTTCCGCGGCCAGAGTCATGTGGGATCTGGGCTGTTCGGGTGACGCCGCGTCGAAGGCTGAGTTGCCGACGTTTCGACCATCCTGTCGTGGTCTTCCTCAGGGCTGGTATGATGGCCTGAGGAAGACCACGACAGGATGGTCGAAACGTCGGCAACTCAGCCTTCGACGCGGCGTCACCCGGACAGCCCAGATCACCGACGTGTACATTAGTTTACACCATACTAAATAGGTGGCCAACCCAATCCACAAGTTCAGCAGTACCTACTAATACTATTAAGTACTCGCACTAGTAGGTATTGAGCTCAGGCCAAGATCGACTGCGGTAACACTTCCCTAATACTCTAGCCCCCCCCCCTCGAAATGTGGAATTTGAATTTCAGGCAAGAACATGAAGTCACTTCAGTGTATAATAATACCTACTGCCTGCGTATTTTTTATACCGTAATATGCGTTCACCACTTACACGAATCATTTTGCAACATATAGCGTGATTTGTGAAGATTTTATTTAGAGTGTAGTGTCAAAACATTTGTGACGCTTCGTCGTCGAACACGGGGGGGGGGGCATCGCATTCAGCATTCAGCCAATGAGCTTCAGACACTAGTTTGCGTCACAATACGAGCAGGAATGTTAAAAGCAGTCACCTACCAAAATTATCACATCGTTACAAGACATTGAAACAGATTTATGTAGCATTTCTTTTAAATATTGCATTTTGTACATCTTTATCGTGCTATTTTTGGATGGTTACCGATGAAAATTAACACTTTGTACCTCTTTCAAAATAATTCCCAGCGTTTCTCGCTCTCCACGCAACATGGCGGCCAGCATCCGGTCTGGCTTTTCAAACGAAGTGCACCTGCTGTGGTTCGTGACGCAAACCGGAGTTGCTCAGAACGAGCAAGAATCAGTGCGCCGGAGGAACTAACCCATGAAATTCCACCATGATTGAACCCTAGGGCTGAACCCTATACAGAAAATATTAATATGCGTATCTCTATGAGTCACATCGAACACAGAAGACAAGGTTTTGCTGGGCGCGACCGGGGAAACCTCTGACTATTGAAGCGGCGGGGGCAAAGAAATTCAATGAGATATTGGACTACAATAGTTGAGAGAAACTTCTATAGCTCAGAAGAAAATATGTTCCAAGGAGCGCTTCTCAGAGCAATTTCGATTGTGTTTGCTGCTTATAAGCGAAAGCCCGGAATTTCAAAACCTGATTGAAGTAAATTTCCTGAATTATCTTGGACAACGTGAATTATGAGGATTTCGCGATCAGCAGCTTAATGCGACAGCTGCTTTTGAGAAGAACGCCACTTGCGCCGCTTATTATTATTATTATTATATTATTATTATTTATTATTTACTATCATTATCCAACTAAGATCCCATTAAGTCAAGGGTGCTCACTGCTTTTGCAGGGAATGCTGAATGAAGTGATAGTGTGATGAGGAGGGGTGAAAGGACTAGGATGATGGTGGAAGGTGGCATGTGGGGTGGTGGGAGGTGCTCGGAACATTTTTAAACCATCCCAGCATTCGCCTTATGACCGAGGGAAATCAATAAAACCCCGCTTAGGATGGCTTGCGTGGGGTTCGAAACCGAACCTCCGGACTGCGAAGTCAGCGCGCTACGCTCTGCACCACTTCTCTCGCTCCACTGAATAATTTTCAGTACTATAAATCTACGAAGCATGTTTATTCCATACAATACATTATTCAGGCTATTTATTTTCTCGTCAATTTATTATTTCACATCATTTTCAAATAATGAAAATTTTCTAATTAATGACATTATTTTCTTACATCTGAATGTATTAAAATTGTAACAAATTATATACGTAGCCAACGACTTAAAATGCATACAACCGTGGGTTTTAAGAAACAATTACCTTGTAGTATAAAACGCTAAGAAGAATTAATTAATTCTAAAAAGATGTAGAGGCATTAATATTTGAAGAAATATATTAAAACCTTAGCTTACATATACCTGCTACAACAGATATCTTTTCAATTTATATTGAAAAGTACTTCCTTTGGAATACTTTAAAGGCGGGTTTACAGTATTACTGTAAACAAATAGTTGTATGAATGAAAAAAATCGTTGATGACGTACAATTAAATTTATTCCCTTTGTAAAACTACTTCCTATTGTATTGTCTCCTCCTCAAATTACGATGCTGCTTCTCACAGGTGCCTGCCACGCAGACGAAATAGGCTACTTGTTCCGAGTGGAGCTAAACGACCCTGACCTGCCACCGGAAGACCCCGCAGCGCTGGTGCGTCGACGGATGATTCGACTGTGGACCAACTTTGCCAAAAAGAAGTAAGATTTTTTTAACATTTTAATTTATGGTTTCATTTGAGCATAAATAATAAAATCCAATATGATAAAATTTTGGTTCCATGAGGTTTCATCAGGTTTCATTTCATATTTTCTGCGTTAGTCATATTTTTAGTTTCTACGGTGTAACTGTGTAATTCCAAAACTTCTCAACGTTTTCCTGTGAAACATGCAAAATACATTATCTATGCGAAGTATTGGATACAATATGGATCTCAAATCATCTTAGGAATAGGAAATGGTACAAACTGGGACATCAATCACACATTATGCGTATCTTGTACATCATGATTTTAGATCGACATAAACAATTGTACAATAAATAGAGATGCTTAAGTCAAATATTTTCACAAATTTTCAGGGAGTGCATGAGTGTACTATATTCATGTTTTCCAATTGAACAAATGCTCTTCCTAGTTCATGAAATAGCTATTGGTGAAAAACTTTCGAGAATACTGTATAACGGACTCAGTCTCAAGAGAGTCCCCCCCCCCTGTAATAACTCTGGAAGTACGGGAATTCACTGAATTTGGGATACAGGTATTTCTGCATTAATAATATCAAGTTTGACCAGTAACAAATGTAATAGTTGATTTCACTGTACATTCAAGTTGGTTTCGTTAATTTTTTTTCAATGTTTACAAACATCAACTACTATGCCTCTTACGTTGCACGTTGTAATCAATGATAGCAAACCCATTATCTATATCATTTCCTATAAAATGCTTCTCGCCGTTATGCGTTTTGTTAGTAAGACCCTGCTATCATCTCCATGCATTTTAAGAGACCCGGAAGGCAAAAAATATATATTTGTACTGTAACACCTCCCGGCGAAGGGAAACGCGCGGTTGGCGGCCCGGTTATAGCTCAGTCGGTCCTATTCCCTTTACTCGGTAAGAACTACGACAATTCTAACAATTCCTTAACTTAAGATTCAGTGATGGAAGGCATTGTAAGCTAAAGCATGCATGGGCATTCGAAATAAACAATTTGATTACTGGTAAAAGACAACGTTTATTCCTGGACAGAGCCTGTACGCAGGGAAGTTACATTAAAAAATAAAAAGAAAGAAAAGATTGAATAAAAGGAAAAAATAAAGATTAAATTAAGAGGAAAGCCTTAAAATAGAGAAGAGTACAAAATTATTTTTAGTTAGATTTACAGTTGTCCCTGAGGCTTTCTTGTGCCTTGGCGTGCACGTTTGACAATACTCAAAAGGTTTATTGCCCCCGTTACAATGCCTGAGAGCCCTTCGAGGCAGATGTTCTGTTGGCCCGAGTGGCGCGGTAGGCGACCTTCGCAGGAATTCGTTCGGGGCGCACGCCCCCTCAACAGCAGGGTGGCAGCGGCATCTGCGGCGTCTACGGAAGTCCGTGACGTCAGCAGAGGGTCGTCTGGAGGCTTCTTCGGCGAAATTTGTAGATAAGTGGCGATCGATATCGCCTGCGATCGCAGGTGCGGAGCACACAACATTGTCTCCCTCTGCGTATGCGATTCCTCTCGAATAAAAATTTCAGTATTTGCGAAATCCTGCAGCGAATACGCAGTGACAAAGGATTCGACAATTTACTTTTGAAGTGCTTTTGCACTCCCTCTAAAATTCTCACTGAGAATTCCGGTCTATCACCCCAGTGATTTCAACTAAACTGAAATTTTAACCAAGTGCCTTCATAGGTGTACTCGCCTCTCCCCGAGCTTGGCTCCCACCCCAGAAAAGTCTCTCTACCAACTGTAATTTTAACAAAGTGCCTTCGGAGGCGCACTCGCCTCTCCCGGCGACTGGCTCTCACCCCAGAGAAGTCTCTCTCTCAACTGTAATTTTGTTTCTCCTAAACGCACGAAGTTAACTTTTATCCCCACCCTTTCTCATCATATGTTCTTGCTCCCTACAACGGTCGCGTTGCTATTGGCTAAAGGTGATGGACTTGTACACTACATTTGGCCAATAGGGCTCCGGCGGAGTATAGAAATTTTCCATTCTCTGCTTCGAAAGTAGGCCACGTCTCTGAAGGGGCTTCCTGGCTACTGAATTATTGCATCTGGCTTCCCCGATCACGATGACAGGCATTTCGGAAGTATTCCAGATGTGGGTTGCTGCTGGGCGCTTTTACAATTTACCCTTCCTTCGGCTGTTGGGTGGGGTGTCATAAACATTCGAAAGTGGTCAAGGGACCGTGGCTGTTGCAAGAAGGGGGGCTGCGCGCGTGACGCCGTATGTTTTTCTTCAGTAAAAAATTTCTTAGGTCTGCTTTACTCAATTTAATTTATCTTAATAATTCTGTACCGCTACAGTACTTTTTAGTGAATGATTAATCTTCAATATTTCTTTTTTCAATTGATGTATTCGCTTTATCTGTGTATTGCATATACGTATTTTTTACTTTCCCATATACATACGTATATACGAAATAATGTTCGTATTCGGAATAATATACGGCCCCATTTAATGTAAAATTAATGAAAAATTTTATAAAATATTTTTACAAATGGGTTTCTTTAATTTGGGAACATCCTACGCATGGTTTAGGCGCTAATAGTGTTCACGGACGGACAAACAGCCAGACGGCCGGCCGGATGGACGGATGAACAGGCGGGCGAACAGACGGACGATTTGAAAATACTTCTTAAGAGAAGAATCGTAAGCAACGGACCACGCCCACCTTTTTGTCTCGTACTTGTCCCTTATGTCCTTTTTTACATACTCACATGCACCCCCCACACACACACACATACGCTCACACACATCGTCTCTCTTAAACGTGCTCATCATTGCACTATCACTGACTTAATGCTGTCTAAGGTGGTTTCAAGTGTTGTGTATCTATTGCAGTGACCCCACACCTGAGGACGACCCGTTGCTGGGAGTGCGGTGGAAGCCCTACACTGCTGAGGAGCGAAACTTCCTAGAGATCGGCCCTCAACTACGAAACGGAACCGACCTCTACGCCGATAGGGTGGCGTTCTGGGAAAAGTTTTACAATACGTATGGATCGTAACATTATTTTGTCAACAGAAATACTATATATTGTTAATGTTTTGATTCGCATTTGAAATAAAACCACAAGCAGGCTAGTAGCGCAGTAAATTATTTTCCTTTTTCTCCTGCCATAATAAAAAATTCTATATATTGAAATTAGATTGGACACCCAATTAGATTTAAATAAATAATTAGAAATTAACTAAATAAATAATGAATTAATAAATTAATAAAAATAATTAAAATAAATAATTAATAAATAACTAAATAAATAATAAATTAAATAAATAATTAGAAAATAAACACTACATTCTTAGGTGACCTTCAGGGAACTTCCCATTTTCTTGGGAAGCTGAAAACGGATCTGATGGAAGGTCTACGAGCAAACATGAAGAGTCCAAAGATAGGCGACGAACATTCAGTACCAGAATAGAGGTCTGAGCAGCAAAACGTTTGATATCAAGTGTTGAAAAAATGGGGTCTGGTGCAGCAAAAATTACCCTTCTGAAATGGTACACGCGAATATTGTAATGACGAAAACAAAAGTGCATTCCGAGTATGCTAGGAAGAAAGAAGATTTAAAAATATATTTGCGAAATGCGTTACTTTTTTACGTTAACATAAAATTGCACAAATTATTAAATGTCAGCAACATTGCTGCAACATTAATAAAGAATAAGGCAGGAATGACTCCATGAATAGTGTTGAACTGTTCACTTTTTTTTCTTCAACCATTAAAATAAATCACATCGAAAATATGTAATATACTGGCATTTATTCCTCATCATATATCCTCCTAACACTTCCCGAGACAACGTAAAAAAAGTTTCCTCTAAAAAATTTATAGATTGTTCTAAAAAAGTTTAGCTTGAAGTTATGAAACCCAGTGAGGCTAAACATGTTCCGAAAAATGGCTCGCCAAACGAAGGTTTAAGTATGAAATTTTAATAAAATTTTAAACATTCAAATATCGCTAAAGGGTGTCTCCAGATTTTCCTAAAACACCAATAGATTTTCTTAATTTATTTCACACTCCACTTCACAATTTAAACACACTTCATCTGAATGAAATCACAAACATTTTGAATTTGATTCTATTCATTTTCAAACTTATTCCATAATAAAACAGAGCAAAATATTGAGAGGGATTAAACTTACCGATACAGTTTTCTTTCATATATTAATTCAGCCAGCTAGGCCTGCGCAGCGTTTCACCTTCCCCTCTGGGCCGCGCGCGGGTAATTACAGTGGAAGTGCGGGGAGTGCAAGTGCAGCGAGGCAGAGCGGGGATGATATGCTAGAAGCTGTGACTACCAATGAGAATTCGAATTCGAACCGTAGCACATAAATTGAACGAGGCATTGGCAAGAACAACACGAACTGTTACATACAGTTCAAGAAATATGGCCTTTTCTATAATTTCGGAAATATTTTTTGTCGACAGACGAAAATTTAAAATATCAAACTATAGAGAATTAAATGTGCATATTTTATTTCGGCGCCAATTATTATAGTTTCTTGTGGGGCTGATTATGTAATGCGTTTAGCTATATTCAATACAATCACAGTGTGGGGCTAAACACACAATTGTAATACTGAATAGTTTTTTCTCAATGATGGCAAACTATTTTTAATTGAATAAGATGTATCAAAGCAAAAAATATTGTTAAAAATCATTATTTCAACCTTCTGCGTTAGTATCTGACAAGAGTACATTATGCAATTTTGACCATTATATAATTGTGCCGGTCGCTCAGGGATTTTTCCCTGGCGAACGAGGCCACGGATCCCGCGGAAATCGAAACAAGACGGTCACTAGAATCACTGAACAGGAAAGGTGGCATTTCGCTTCCTAAAAATATAAATTGTACTCACTTTATGGTAGATGCTCTATCTGCCCAGTGTCGGTTCTTAATTATTCTTAACATCTAAACAACTTCTTGTTCACTCGGTAAAGGATGTCTTGTATTTAAAGATCTGTTTCTGTATATTGGGCCTTAATGCTACTTCCCTGTAGAGACATGTCCCATATGATACACTATCTTTCAGGAATTCCCTCACAATGCACTCAGTTTGCACTGAGTCAGATCAGGGCCACAAACCACATGCGATCATTCTCTCTCCACACGCAGCATCTAAACTTGACAGTGTGTGCAGTTGAGAAGTTGTGTTGAAAATGACCGTAATTATACTTTGCATTTGTCAGCATTTGGAAGAAAGGCTGCTAAATATGATGCGCATAACGGTTTGATTTTATCGTTTCCGTTGAAAATAAGGGTTATTCTCTTGGCGCTGATTGCACCTCATTCATTGACTTTTACGTCGCATAGTGGGCGGTGGTGAAAAATGTGGGAGATTTCAATTCCCGTTATTTTGACTATTAGCGTGACCATCGAGATAAAACAGATACCTCAGAATCTTGGAGATATATCTTTGAAGATTTTTTGTAGAAATATGAAACCATAAATCGACTACTCCACAACACTGGAAAATACGCCTTTTGCAGGGCGAGACCTTGAGACACTCTTGTCACCCATGTTTCCATGGGAATTGAGCACACTGTTCCCGGCGAGCACCACCCCGACGGCCGATTTTACGATGGTGGCAATCTAGTAAATTAATCGCTCTACATATTTGTAATATAAATCAACGAACTCTTTTTTATTCATAATGTATTTAACAATACCCATAATAATCTCAAGATTGTAAAATATTGTCACAGAATTTTTGCTAATTATTATCTATTATTCAGATTCACATCTAACAAATGGTGATACAACAGCCCCTACTTCCTCGCGTTGTTGAAAACAGTTATGTTATATTGAAGCACTGGATTTGTATTGCTACTAATATCTCAGCCAATGCTTGGAAACGTCCAATTCTAAAACAAAGCGCCTGTGATGCATATCAGCATTCATTTCGATAGTCAGGAGAAGAAAGCATTTCTTACTTTGACAAACGAAATAAATCGGAATACATTTAACTGATACAGGATTCACAGCAAATTACACAGAAGAAAGCAACGCACTATTGCCAGCGCAGCATTGCCCAAACTATGAGAATTCGCATGGCGAATCATATAAATTCTGTGCAAAAACTCTTATTTTCATCTGTATTCAGATTACAACCATTTTATCGTTCAGTGCTAGTACATCATACACAGTTGATAAATAACTCAAATAATAATGAACTAATAAAATTAAGAATATTCTACAATTTGTAATATTAAGTTTCTTTTTATACATTGACACCGCCTGGAACGAAGCACAGGAAAATAAAACATAAAGATAATACGTTAGTTACATCGACCGCAGATTGAATGTAAGAAATGCACAAAGCGATATTAAATAATACACAAATACTGACTTACGAAGTCTACAAATGAGTGAAATAGGCCACGACATCAGCCAGATCGATCCAGAAATATAAATTTTAGAGAGAATTAGCTGAACAGTTTAGCCACTAGCGTTGTTCACAGACTGACAGACTTGCCGCAATCAATTTTTCGGTATCAATGACCCACTACATAAGGATTCTGGATACACCGCGTGTTGGAGGATTTCTTTTTATAAATTAAGCAACTGGATTTATTCACTTTTTCGTTACCAGGTCCCTGTAATAAGAGTTTTTCTGCCGAATGTGCGCCGTTTTTTGGCGCATCATTACATAACTTTGTCTTCTTAAGAAGTTCTTTCTTAAGCGCGCAAAAATAAAATGCTTTTGTAATCTATGATGACTGGACTCTTTCAATTTGGCCCAAATATGATCGTTTCATTATTCTCAGGTATAAAGAAAACTGGCATTTCCTCGGTTTTTTGCTCGCCCCAGATTGCTGCAGGTTGCTTTCGTAATTTATCAAATCGTCTTCCGAGGAAATGCAGACTTATCCGTAGCTCGCCGACACATATTAGTAGCTGTTACGCATGCAGAATTGAACTATGACCCCCGTTACCTGGCGAGTGATTTCAAAGACTGTTCGCAATGTATTATCTTCTTCTCAAAAGTTCTAAAGTTTATTGTGTATTGCAAAAATTGATTTTTTTACAGTAAGTTAGGGAATTTCTTAATTGAATGTACCTGAGAAAATATTCGAAATTAATTACGTTTCTTTTTCGTGGATGTTGATGGCTTGAACCCACTATTTGTAAAGTGGAGCTGTAAAGAATCCGCAATAAGTGCTAATGTTTCATTTAATTTGATTGAATAATTTTCATATTTTGTACTGATAGTTGCCATCATACCCGCTCAAAGGCGGTCAAAAAAATAAAATCTGATTGAAAGAAGAAAGTTTTTCTGGAGGAATTACATTTACTACGTTTTTAAATATAAGTGCCTTCAATGATTTGCAGTTTTCTTTCGTAGTTAATGAATATAGTGGCTTTGCTGTTAGACACTGCATAACATTATCTATTGTTTTTTTAAAAAACTCGCATTTTAGATCGGTTAAAAGAAGACACGAGATGCAAATATGCCAAGCCCAGAGATAAGTTTATGTGCTCGGGGCTCAAGTTATCTTTGTTTCTTATACATGAATACAACAAGACGATGATTTTGCGTGTGTGCTTTTCAGTATAGGTGGAAGATGCCATCAAAAGAATTATTTAATTGAGTTTTAACAATAATAATGTCATTGTAAATAATGTAATCACTGTCTGAGCGTGACGCCCCCGGCGAGTACTTTGATGAAAAAAGTTTTATATGTGCTTTACAAGTTCTTAATAAAAATAGCATTTGAACTAATCACTGTCGCCTACCTCGTCTATTTTCGAGCATATAAATTTGCTTAAACAGTTGTCAATTACAATTCTTATTTAAATTTTGATTTCATTACAAAATTAAGTTTCAATGTTATCAGTTATGAAGAATCAGGTCAAAACGATTCATGTAGATTAAGGAGTGTATAGTAATTCACAGCACAGTAGCGAAATATTTCTATTTACTACATTCAGAGCGTGGAGACAATTCTCAGAGTTGAATTTTTCCCTACGTTATGTGCTGTGCGAGGTCACCAAACACGGGTCTGAGATAAAGGCATAAAATGCACGTGTTGTTGCGAAGTGCACAGCAGATGGCCTACATAGGCCTCCTGACTACCAAGGAGCTCCAATTCTGTCTAACTAGAAGTGATTTAAATATCGGAAATACAGGTATGTGCTGATATTATTTTCTTCTTATTTTTGTGTTAAATGTATTCTAATAGAATATATTTATCAGAATCAGTTCTAAATATGGAGTTCTTACTAACATCAAACGTTCTAACTTCATAGAGTATAAAATAATTAAAGACGTTGTCATTGCCAACAATATTATTTAATCAGACAACTGATGATGATGGCTAAGCCATCGAAAGCTGCTTTTGCATTAAATAATATTGTTGGCAATGACAACGTCTTTAATTATTTTATGAAAAATGCCAAAGATATCACACCACAACACCTATATTCATAGAGTATACTAGATATATGGATTAAATTTGAGTACTTTTGAAGTGACTGCTTGAAACTCAAGTTGATGGAGAAAGTTATATGGTTATATTTTCTTACTGTTCCCCCCAAAATAAGCAAATTGGTAATACCTAACTCGTGTTCAAATGTGCGTTAGAATCGTCATTCATTTATTAGATATATCGATCATAACGTTCTTGAAATTAGAGCTTAGCGTGGAAGAACGAACTCACGCGACTGATTGGTTCGCTGGCGACAAGCATTCGAATGATTCCTGCAGCCGGTTGCCTGTGCTTGAATGCTGCCGACCCGTCACTGCAGGCGTTGCCGGCCCACATCGCTACCCATCCCCTTATCCATGACGTGA